ATCCCAGCTACTCTGGAGGTTGAGACATGAGGATCTAAGTTGGAAGCCAGCCTAGGTAGAAAAGTCTATGAGACTCTAATCTCCAGTAAACTACTCACAAAAGGCTATAAGTGGTGCTGTGGCACAAGTGGTAGAGCGCTAGCCTTGAATACAAAGAATCTTAGGCACAGCTCGGTGGTAGAGAGCTTGCCTCACACGCATGAGGCCCTGGGTTCGATTCCTCAGCACCACATAAGCAGAAAAAGCCAGAAGTGGCGCTGTGGCTCAAGTGGTAGAGCGCTGGCCTTGCTGAAGAGCTGAGGGACAGCGCCCAGGCCCAGAGTTCAAGCCCCACGACCGACAAAAAAAAAAGAAATAAAGTATTGCAAGAGTTTTTACTAAACCAATAAACCAAACTCCAAGTGACCAGAGAATTCATACTGGGTTAAGCTCTTTTTCATGTTTGAGAAATGCTCAAACTAAGCCCAGACTACGCGGGAAGCTCGCAGCGCAGCGGCGGGGAACGCCCCGCGCCCTTTAAAAAAAGGAAAAGGCTGCCACCGAGGCCCCGCCCATAGGGCGCCCGGACCACCCTCACGGCCACTGAGCCCCGCCCACAGGGCGCCCAGGACCGCCCTCACGGCCACCGAGGCCCCGCCCACAGGGCGCCCAGGACCGCCCTCACGGCCACCGAGGCCCCGCCCACAGGGCGCCCAGGACCGCCCTCACGGCCACCGAGGCCCCGCCCACAGGGCGCCCAGGACCGCCCTCACGCCGGACTCCACTTAAAGGGAAACCGCTTTTCTGTCGTCCAAACAAGGAAGCCTCCCGCCTCACCCACCCTTAAGGTACCACGCGGCCCCCCAGCTGTTTAAAGGGGAAAGGTCCCCGCTGGGCCCCACCTCACCTGCGCGGTTACTTTGTACTCGGTGTAGCCCTTGGGATGGGTCCTGGGGTCGGAGACCGTGTAGTGCCGCAGGAAGTCATCCTTCGCCTGGCGAGACATGGCCACCGAGCTGGAGCGGCGCTGACCGCCGCCCCCGCCCCTCCGGCTCGGGCCTCCGCCAGCGCCGGCTCGCCCGGGCCTGCGCCCTCCTTCTACCCGCCCACGGAGCCGGGCGCAAGTCGCAGCACCGCCCTGGCCCCGGCCTGCGGCCAAGGGAGCGTCTGAAAAGTTCCCTACCATGGGGAAAGCGTAAACGCGAGTAATGGGGGAAGGAAGATTGGTCGGGGGAGGTTTAGGCACCTCCTCACCTGTGAGGGCGATGGCGCACCCCGCCCGTATCTGAGCGTAAGCCCCACAGACTTCCAAACCACTTCTCTTCTTTTATCCATCCACATACTTTTGTTGTTTTTGTCGGTACTAGGGTTTGAACTCAGGTCCTTGCACCTGCTAGGCTAGCTCTCTCATGAGCCACACCTTCAACCCCTATCAAAAAAATTTATGTGTTTAATGTAATTTAAATATTCATGAAAGTATATATTTAGACATTAACATATACATATATTTATGTAAGTAGCTAGGATTACAGGCATGAGCCACTGCACCCCAGAGGTAGTGTATGTGGCCTTTTACCAATAAGCATGCATCAAAACCATATTGCTGAAACCTAATATTACATCAAAGCCTAAATGAGGTGCTTGGCACAGAATGCTTGTACTTGTTATCCTAGCTACTTGGGGGCAGAAGTAAGGAGGACAGCTGTTGGAGGCCAGCTGACACAAAAAAATTCAGGAAACCTGCCTCCCTCTCCCCATCTCAATCAATAAAAAGCTGGGCATGCCAGGAGCTGGTGGCTCACACCTGTAATCCTAGCACCTCAGGAGGCTGAGATCTGAGGATCTTGGTTCAAAGCCAGCTGGGTCAGGAAAGTCCCTGAGACTTTTTTTTTGGGGTCAGCCATGGGGCTTGAACTTGGCTTGGGTGCTATCCCTGAGCTCTTCAGCTCAAGGCTAGCATTCTACCACTTAAATTACAGCACCACTTCCAGTTTCCTGGTGGTTTACTGGAGATAAGAGTTTAACGGACTTTCCTGCCTCAGGCTCTCTTTGAACCATGATCCTCAGATCTCAGCCTCCTGAGTAGCTAGGATTATAGGCAAAAGCCACTGGCGCCTGGCTAAAAGGACTGTTGTGTTTTCTTTCTTTCTTTCTTTCTTTGGTCATGGGGCCTGAACTCTGGGCCTGGGTGCTGTCCCTCAGCTTTTCAGCTATAGACTAGCGCTCTACCTCTTGAGCCTCAGCGCCACTTCTGGCTTTTTCTGCTTATGTGGTACTGAGGAATCAAACCAAGGGCCTCATGCATGCAAGGCAAGCACTCTACCACTGAGCCAGCTTCCCAGCCCTAAAAGCCAAGTAGATAACTTTTTTTTGTGGGCCTGGGCTCTGTCCCTGAGCTCTTCAGCCCAAAGTGAGCGCTCTACCGCTTGAGCCACAGCACCACTTCTCCCTGAGACTTTTTTTTTTTTTTTTGTCGGTCATGGGGCTTGAACTCTGGGCCTGGGCGCTGTCCCTCAGCTCTTCAGCTCAAGGCAAGCGCTCTACCACTTGAGCTACAGCGCCACTTCCGGTTTTCTAGTGGTTTATTGGAGATAGGAGTCTCACAGTCTTTTCTGCCTGGGCTGGCTTTGAACCGCGATTCTCAGATCTCAGCCTCCTGAGTAGCTAGGATTACAGGCGTGAGCCACCGGCGCCCGGCTTCCCTGAGACTTTTTATCTCTAGTTAACCACCAGAAAACGTGGCGCTGTGGCTCAAGTGGTAGAGCACTAGCCTTAAGCTGAAGAGCTCAGGGACAGTGCCCATGCCGAGTTCAAGCCCTATGACTGACAAAAAAAAAAAAAAAAGGCAAGCAAACTGGTCATAATGGCACATTCCTGATATCCTAGCTGTAGCAGGAAGCTTAAATAGGAGGATTACAGTCCAGGTGGCCTGTACAGAAAGTGAGACCCTGTCTCAAAAGTAGCCAGTGCAAAAAAGGCAGGAGGTATGGTTCCAGTGGGAGATCACATGCTAGCAACATTCAAATCTCAGTACCACTAAAAAGCCTTAAAAAGCCAAAGTGGGAAAGACAGGCATCAATACCATGCTATCATCACTGAAAGGCAAGGGCTGGGTTATGAACTGCTTGTAAAATAGCCCAAGCAGGAAAGTCTGTGAGACTCTTATCTCCAGTAAACCATTCAGAAAACCAGAAGCGGTGTTGTGGCTCAAGTGGTAGAGTGCTAGCCTTGAGCTGAAGAGATGGACAGCTCCCAGACCCAGAGTTCGGGCTCTACCACGGACCCTTTCCCCCCCCCCCCCCCCCCCAAAGGAATCAATTGTTGAGGAAGTGAGCATCTACATTGGAAGAGCTGTTGTCAGTCCCACTTAGCCATGGTCTGATTCTGGTTGGAATGAAAACAGCTGGAGGAAGGGCTATTATGCCTTAGATGCTGGCTTTTTGCTGGTTAAATGGAGATAAGCGTCTCATGGATTTTCCCGCACAGGCTGGTTTTGAACTATGATCCTCAGCCTCCTGAATAACTAGGATTTCAGTTTAAGCCACCACTGTCCTGCATTGAAGCATGAGTCTTTATATATTTTTGTCTGTTTTGGGGCTTGAACTCAGGGCCTGGGTACTCTACCACTTTGAGCCACAGTGCCACTTCCAGTTTTCAGATCTCAGGCTTTTCAGATCTCAGGCTCCTGAGTAGTAGGATTACAGGCGTGAGCCACTACTGCCCGACCTTCCCACTCCTCTACCCCCCTCCTTCCCCAGTCCTGCAGCTTAAACTCAAGGGTCCTGAGCTTCTTTTGCTCAAGGCTAGTGCTCTAGCTTTCCACAGTGCTACTTCTGGCTTTTACTCTTTATGTGGTACTGAGGAATTGAACCCAGGGCTTCATGAAGCACCCTATCACTAAGCCAACTTCCCAGCCCCTGCCCAATTTTTTTTTTTTTAAACCAGTTTTGCAAGGGAGGGATGTGATTTTTGGACAGGTAGACAGACACCAGTTTTTGTTGTTTTTTGTAGGTCATGGGGTTTGAACTCTGGTCCTGGGCACTGTCCCTCAACATATTACCACTTGAGCCACAGCACCACATCTGGTTTTCTGGTGGTTTCTTGGAGATAAGAGTCTCATGAATTTTCTTGCCTGGGCTGGCTTTGAGCCGCAATCCTGAGTAGCTAAGTCGCTAGGATTACAGGCGTCAGCCACCAGCATCCAGCTAACGGGCCCAAGTCTTACTCAAGTCTTCTTAGCTTTTGAATTTGAACAGAGAAACAACAGCAGAAGATGGTCAGGCCCATGCTTCCATGGAAGGCCCTGGGATGGCGTGTGCTGGGTTCAGATTCCAACTTTCCCTTAGCTGGGTGGGATGCCCATGCTGGACTGTCCTCTGTGGGGAGCACTTACCACAGAACCCCGCTTTGCAGAGCCAGCAATTGGGCAGGGTGGCCCTGCTTGAGTGCTTTGTAGCTTGATGTAGCCACCTTCCCTCCTTCCCTCCCTTTGCATGCTCCTCCCCAAGGGATCCCAGCTTCAATAGGCTTTCTGCCCATGATCCATCCAATACCCACGATCATGGGGACCCCTCCTGAGGGCCACCACCCTGTGAACCATCTTCCTCTCCTCTACCCAGAAGTTATCATTCTACTCCTTCATTCCCAACCTTCTTTTTTTTCTCTTCAGCACTGAGGTTTGAATTCAGGACCTTGCCTTTGGAAGGCAGGTGCTCGTAACACTGAGTTATGCCTCAGCCTTAGTTTTTGCTGGTTATTTTTGATAGGGTCTAGTTTCTTGTATGGGCATGACCCCTATATGTTCACCTTAGCACGTGTAATAGGTTTGTCACTGGGCCCTGTGGAAAGGTCTTGTGAAATTTTCTTCTAGGCTGGCCTCCAACTGCAACCCTCCCAATCTCAGACTCCCAAGTGGCCAGGATTACAGGTGTGAGGCCCCTCTCAGCTTGAAGTCATTTCTCTCTGGGAAGCCTGCCTGGACTGTTACAGATGGTATCTCACAAACAGCGCAGGCCAGGAACTGGAGAAGGAGTGCTTTATTCTTACCACTGAGCAAGGTATGTGGCCCAGGGCCTCAGTAGCAGCAGGCAGCCCCTCCCGGCCCAGCCCTGTCCTCTTGGCACCACAGCTGCAGCCTTCATCACGGGCTGGAGTGACAGGAGCTGGGATGATAGCCTGGGCAGTGCTCTGCCTGGGAGAGCGGCAGTGGGCATGGGTAGCAGCAGCAGGTCACTGGGTGGGGAGTGTTAGTCTAGCTGGCCTATTCAGCTCCCCCCCACCCCCAAGGTGGTGTCTGGACTTGGAGCCGGGGACATCCATGGTGACTCAGTCGGCGGTGAAGATCCGACTGGAGATGTCGTCCAGGAGCCAGTCGATGCCGGGCAGCAGGTCCTCCCCAGAGAAGGCGCTGCAGCTCTGGACGCGCCAGTGGTGTGTACGGATGGAGGCAAGGTCCAGGGCCTGGGGACAGAGAGGAAAGGTGGAGCCACAGTGCACAGCCCTAGCCCTGCGGGGTGAGGCGCATCGCCCGCGGGGCACCGGGGCTCTCTGTGGTCCTTGATGTAAAAGCCACACGGACTCCTGAGGGTCTCACGGGGCAGGGACCCCACTGAAGTCATCTCATTCGTTCCCTATGAGGCCCCAGGTGCCAACGACTGGGCTTGCAGTTTTACCAAGAAGGAAACCAAAGCTCAGAGAAGCCAATTACTGGCCACATCACATGGCTAGTAAGTGGCAGAACTAGGATCCTAACCCCGCTCTTTCTCTTTGTGGCACTTGAGAACTAGAATAGCAGTTAAAATGCAGGCTTGAGCTAGACAGGCTTGGATTTAAATCCTGGCTTGTCTACCTCCTGGCTGTGTGGTACCGGGTAAGTCATCTACTCTCTCTCATTGTGTTGCACCATCTAGAACATGAGAGTGGTCGTGAGAACGAAATGGACTCGGGTCTGTGCAGAATTAGCCTGACAGGAAGCACTCCCTGCAGACTGACTGTCCGTATCCTGTGGATCAATCTGTCTGTAGCTCTGCTTCCCCAGGCTGTAAGCTGCCATTACAGACCTTATTAATGACCCAATGTCCAGTGCTCTGAACAGGTCCTGCCACACATAGGGGACTAATAAATGCTTTTCTAATAATTATCAAGTAGATCTTGGTTCATGCCCCTTTTTCTAGGCAAGCCTGCCTCCAAGGACTCACCTCCTGAATGGCATTAGAGGACAGTGCTCCTGGCAGGTCCTGCTTATTGGCAAAGATGAGAAGGGTTGCTCCGGCTAGGCGCTGGGAGAGAAAAAGTGGAGAGGAGGGTGAGCGCTCACAGGCCAGCCTGACTCCTTTTCTACTGGCCTAGAGGATCTGGGGTCAAACATCAGTCTCCATGATCAGGGCAAGGCCTGGGTGGCAGGGCAGAGTGAAAAGAGTGGCTGGCCTGTCTGATCCCACTTTGGCTACATGTGGACTCAGGGTCCAGCTGAGCACCACCCAGCGGCACCTCTCTCTTCCATGTCTCAGTTTCCTCATCTATAATCAGGAGAAGATGCTGAACAAGATGTCTGAGCTGAGTGCGAGTGGCTCACACCTGTAATCCTACCTATCCAGGAGGCTGAGATCTGAGGATCGAGGTGTGAAGCCAGCCCTGGCAGGAAAGTCCATGAGACTCTTTTTTTTTTTGGTACGGTCATGGGGCCTGAACTCTGGGCCTGGTGCTGTCCCTCAGCTCTTCAGCTCAAGGCTAGCGCTCTACCACTTGAGCCACAGCGCCACTTCCGGCTTTTTTCTTTTTGCTTATGTGGTGCTGAGGAATCGAACCCAGGGCCTCATGCAAGCGCTCTACCACTGAGCCACCTTCCCAGCCCCCATGAGACTCTTATCTCCAGTTAACCACCAAAAAGCCAGAAGTGGCTGAAAGTGGTAAAGCACTACTAGCCTTGAGTAAAACAGCTCAGGGACAGAGCCTAGGGTCTGAGTTCAAAGCCTCATGACCACCACCACCAACAAAAACTAACCTTGACCCTATGTTACTTGGAGCACAGATGCCTGTGGGACTCATCTGTGAACACAGAAGCAACCTCATTCATGCAGCAAGTCTAAGCTGAACACCTATTATGTGCCGGGTCCCAGCCCCCACTGGCCGGCCTGCGCACCTCCTCTACCAGAAGGCTCTGGAGCTCCCGCTGGCAGTCCTGCATGCGCTGGCGGTCGGCGCTGTCCACCACCCAGATGAGGCCATCTGTGCTCTCAAAGTAGTTCCGCCAGTACGAGCGCAGGGACTTCTGGCCGCCCACATCCCAGATGTTCAGCTTGAAGCTGGGCAGGAAAGAGCCAGCAGAAAATCAGCCCCCTCCGGCCCCCGCCTGCCCCGACCTGGCTAGTGCAGGGCAGGGTCCCAGCTCACCCTCGGTGCTCCAGGGTCTTGATGTTGAAGCCCAGGGTCGGGGAGATGGTGTCCACGTCTTCCCCGTTGAACTTCTTGAGGATGGTGGTTTTGCCGGCATTGTCCAGGCCGCTGGGACATTTGGTTAAGGAGAAGTCCCTGTGCCAAGCCAGTGGCAATGCCAACACAGCGCCCCTTCCTTAAGGGCTAATCATTTCCCATCATAGATATAAAGTTAAGTTGAAGTCAGACACTAGTGCTTACACCTATAATCCTAGCTACTCAAGAGGCTGAGATCTGAGGGTCATGGTTTGAAGCCAGCCTGGGCAGACAAACCCAAGAGAGTCTTATTCCCCGCAAACCAGCAAAAGGCTGAAAGTGGTGCTATGGCTCAAGTGGTATGGCAACAGGTTTGAGTGAGCAAGCAACGAGTGAAAAGCTCCCCGCTCAAACCCCTGAGTCCAAGCCCCAGTACTGGCACAAAATTAAAAAAAAAGTTTTTTCTAAATGTTGAGCTGAGCAAAATAATCATTTCTATCATCTCTGATGAACAAAAGCAACTTAATTCCTGCAGCAACTATTAGTTGAACACCTATTAAGAGCCAGGACCTCTTAGGGTATTAGAGGACAAAGTTCTCATCCTTATGAAGTTTACACTCTCATGGGAGCTTGTGATAGACTACAAACCTGAGGGCTTGGTAGAGTGGCTTAAGCCTGAAATCCTACCTATTTGAGAGACAGACATGGGAAATGGAGGGTTTAAGGCCAGCTGGGAAGGAAAAAAAAAGTTTAAGAGATTCCATTTCAACCAATGGCTAAGTGAGATGGAGCATACCCAGTGACTTGGTAGAAGCACAAATAGTAGCATCACAGTCCAGGCTAGCCTGAGCAAGACCCTATCATCAATGCAAAATCATCAATGCAAAAAGGGCTAGCTGAGGGACTCAAGTGGTAGAGGGCCTGCTTAGACATTACAAAGCCCCAAATTCAAACTCCAGGAGGACAAAATAACAACAATAATGTACTACAGATCCTGGCAAGAGTGACCAATGCAGGGCATGGTCCAAGAGGAGTCCAAGAGGAGTTGCTTTAGGCTCAGGCACCAGGGATGCTGGGTGAAGTCTCTTGAGTGTCTGAAACACCCAAGGCCAGCCTGTTGAAGGACTAAGGGAAGAACAAACATCAGAGAATGGCAGCTACCTTTGTGTTTCTGGAATGTTTCACATCCTTTTCTGTAGAGCAAATCTCTAGAGAAAAGAGAACCACCTCCTCTCCTTCCAACACTTGAGCTCCTGCAGCTGACTGGAGATTAGAAGGAGGGCAGGTCCTGTGCTCAGGCCCTCTTCCTGTTTACCTGGTCTGGTTAGGAACTTGAGAGATGGAGGCAAGAAAAGTGCTGCTCCTGAGGCTCAATCTTAGGCCTAAAGTTGCCCTAATCCTGGTCTCTCTAATGCCAGTATTATCTATGTGTTCTCCATGGATCAAGAACAGGGGACAAACTCCTGTTGCTCCTCTTCCCTCTCCCCCATTCAGTGACATACAACTTGCCTTCTACAGCACACTTCCTCAAACACTCTTTACACTCACCTGGGCCAAACTTTGTATCTTCCTGCTTTTTCTTTCCTTTTAGTAGTGCTGTGATGGAACCCAGGGCCTTACAGGTTAGAACTCCTGCTCTTGCTCTCTCCTCTTTCCCTTTCCCCACCCCTCTCTCGCCAGTATGAGGACTTGAAACCAGGGCTGAGGGGCAGGGAACTCTCCACTAGCTTTTTTGGTTCAAGGCTGGGCTGACGCTCTTCCACTTGAACCACAGCGCTACCTGAGATTAATAGTCTTAGGAATGGGTCTACCTGGGCTTGCTTTCAAACCATAATTTGAGGATCTCAGCCTCCTGAGTAGCTAGGATTACAGGTGTGAGTTGTTGGCTCCCAGTTCCTGCTTTCTTAAACTGGGAGAGGGGGAAACCACTGCATATCATCAGAATGTGTCCCCAGTGGCTTCCAGAGCCTGTTCTTGCCACAGTGGTCCCCAAAGACTTCATGCTGCATTTCAGGGGCCTGGCGGCCCTCACTGCTTATCTTCTGCTCCCCTGCAGCACCTGCATCCTCATTTCACATGTTTGGACACCTGTGCACACCACTTTCTAGCTGAGCTCCTGCACCTGTGATCAAACACTACCCTACCTCTGCTGCACAGGTCCAGCAGCACATGTGACATTCTAAGGATAGCTCCGATGCCTCACCTGGCCAAACAGAGGTCAGGGCTATCATCTTCCCAGGAACCTGTTCCTCCCCATCTCAGCACAGTGGATTGCATGTGTGCATATATATGCATGTGCACCCATACTGGTGCTTTAACTAAGAACATCACCTTGACTTGGCTTTTTTTGCTCTATCACTTGAACCACATGTCCACTTGCAGCTTTTTTGCTTGTTAACTGGAGATGAGTTTCACACATTTGTCTGCCTAGGCTGCCTCTGAACAGGGATCTTCAGATCTCAGCCTTCTGCGTAGCTAGAATTACAAGCATGAGGCACCAAGGCACGGCTCCTTGTGCTTCAGACTGTTCTGGCCAGAACCCTGGCGTCAGGCTTGGTTTCAGTTCATCTCATTCTCAATCTAGTTATTCCTGCTGGCCTGCCTATACCATGTCTTCCATGACCTTGCCTTCAGTCCTGGGCCTGGTCTCAGCTCATGGCTTCTCCTCTAAACTTCTCACTTAAAGGAAAAGCCAAGAACCAGAAATCCTTATGAGATGGGTCTCTTCTACTGTAACCACACTGCCTTCTTTGATGTCCCCATGAACCTGACAGGAATGCATTTGCCTTTCTTTGCCTTGGATAGTTTTCCTCCAGATACGTATGCTTCAATCTTTGCCCCCCTCATGTCTTTACCCAACTGTCATTTAGTGTGGCACTATATTATTTTAATGTGTTGGTACTGGGGCTTGAATGCAGGGATTCATGCTCTTAGGTTTTTTGTTCAAGGCTGGTGCTCTACCACTTGAGCCACACCTGGCTTTTTTTTTTGGCTAGTTCATTGGAGGTAAGAGTCTCTTGGATTTGTCTGCCTGAGCTGGCTTCCGACCTCCATCCTCGGATCTCGGCCTCCTGAGTAGTGAGGATTACAGGCGTGAGCCACCGGCGCCCGGGTCGATTGCAGATTTCTACCAAGCCTGGTACACCGCAGGGCAACGGGGCGCAGGCGTCGGCTAACGCACCACCCCGAGGGTCCTGGGGCCTGCAAGCCCTTAGGGGCGCAGGCACGACCGACTGCCCAGCAGAGGACCCGAGGCTGGGTCCACACCGCCGCCCTGACCCCAGCCGGGGCCCGCGCGCCGCCCGGACGCCGACCTCGGGGTCGGGGCCGGCACCCTCGCCCAGGGGGAGGAGGTCAGAGCACCGGAGGACGAGAACCCACGCGCGGACCGGAGTGACAGAGGGTGACGTCGGAGTCACCTCCGGGCCCTATGCCACCCAGCACCCGGGACGCTGCGCCCCGCAGGGCGCCTCCAGGCCCACACCTTTGGCGCTTGGAGGCGAGTCCCCCTCCGTCCCCGCGAGGTGGTACGGCCCGCGGCGGCCCCGGCCGGGAGGATTGGTAGGGCCGCGCGCGTGACGCACAATGGGCAGTTGGTACGGACCCGGCGGCCGCGCTCCCGCGCCCGGCAGGGGGCGCCTGGCACCGCCCACCCGGCAGGCCCTCCCCGCCCCCCGGCCCTCGCGGCTCCGGCTTCCGGAAGGATACAGCATGAGCAGTCGCAGCTCCCGCTCTTTCTGCTTCATCTTCTTCAGAATGGTCAGAAGCCCCATGGTCCCGTAACCCCCTCCCGGCTGCCGTTTCTTCTAGTCCCGGGACTCCGTTCTCAGTTCCTATTGGCTATCACACCCGTGGAGAGCACCGTCTATTGGTCGGCCCCGTGTTTGGTCCCGCCCTTTCCTCCACGTGACTCGGAAGCCTCCCTTGGGAGCCGCAGCCATGGTCCCCCTAGTGGTCACCGGGACTGCTGCGCCCACCCCGGCGTTAACCCTTCGCCTCCCAGGGCGAAATCCTCATTCCTTCCAGCCTGGGACCGTCGGACTTGGCGGGAACGGGAGCTTGAAGCTCCTGAACCGTTATCTTGGCTAGGTGGGGAGTACCTACAAAGGGCTTAACTCTGGAAACAGAACTGGGGGCACAGGGTGCCGGCTGCTCACCTGGCAGCAGTAGAAGGCCCGGAGACGGGGGGCCCAGCCCCGCTCCGCGGGGGCCTCGGCATCCTCCTGAATCTGCAGTGACGCAGATGGGCCTCCCCGGTCCCCGGCTCAGTCCAGGGCGGTCGTGCCCCCTAGAGGCCGTTTCCAAGGGTGCGTGCGTGCGCGTGCGTGTGCGTGTGCGCGCGCGCGCGCGCCGTGTCTTTTCCCGTGACAGGATAGTCAATGTCCTTTAGAGGACTGGGAGTCCTGCAATGCGGGGGAACGCCAAGAATTGACCCACCCGCCAGGCTCCTGCAATCCTAGCTACCCGGGAGGCTGAGATCAGCCTGGGGAGGAAAATCTACGAGACGCCGAAAAACCCGGAAGTGGAGCTGTGGCTTAGGTGGAAGAGCCCCAGCTAGGCGCTCTGGGTTCGAGCCCCAGCTGTCTGTGTCCGTGTTGTCTGTATTAAGTAAAGAAGCAAATTTCTATTCCTTTTTCTTTTTTCCTTTTGGAGTACTAGGGTTTCAGCTCAGGACTTCACATTTGCTGGGTAGGCTCTGTACTAATTAGGCCACACGTACCAGCCCATTTTGCTTTTAGGTTATTTTTCAGATAGGGTCTCAGACCTGGATCCTCCAGCCTAGGTTGGATAACTGATACTCAACCACATCTGGCTTTCGTTGAGATAGAAGTGTCACTAACTTCTTGCCCCAGCTGCCCTGGAATCACATCCTCATGATCTCCCTCCACCTCTGGGGTGGTTGGGATTATATGCACGAGCCAGCATGCCTGGTCCCATTTTAGTTTTTTTATTATTTATTTTTGGTCGTGGGGCTTGGGCGCTGTTCCTGCGCTCTTCAGCTCAAGGCTAGCGCTTTACCGCTTGAGCCAGCCAGAGCGCCACTACCGGTTTTCTAGTGGTTTATTGGAGATAAGATTTTCACGGACTTTACTGCCTGAGCTGGCTTTTAACTGCCATCCTCAGATCTCAGCCTCCCGAGTAGCTAGGATTATAGGCGTGAGCCACCGGCGCCCGGCCCATAAAAGAACAATAACTGGAAGAATGCCCACTAAAAAAGTTTTTTTTAAAAAAAATAATGGAATAAAGTCTTTAAGTGGATTGTGAAGTTAATGTTCCTCAAAGGTTGAATGACATGAATTAACTGAATTTGGCCATTCTGATTATAAAGATATCAGTTTCATAGGGTTCAAATTAATAGTATTAATAAAAGTTGGATTAACAAAACAAAGCATAGCTACTTTTATAAAGGTAGTGTTTGGTGAAACGTTTGGTTCAGTATCTATTCTTTTCTTTCTTTTTTTTGGGGGGGTCGGGTCATGGGGCCTGAACTCTGGGCCTGGGCGCTGTCCCTCAGCTCTTCAGCTCAAGGCTAGCGCTCTACCACTTGAGTCACAGTGCCACTTCTGGCTTTTTTCTTTTTGCTTATGTGGTGCTGAGGAATTGAACCCAGGGCCTCAGGCATGCAAGGCAAGCGCTCTACCACTGAGCCAACTTCCCAGCCCTGGTTCAGTATCTATATGGATGAATATACTTCCCAATATGGGACACTCACAAAGTTTAAAAATCACTGAAATTCAAATGTTAATTCTGGGGAGCAAGCTTGGCGTGGAGGGGACTTGAAATTATTACCATAAGTGCTTCTGGATTGTTTTACCTGTCACTAGCCTTGAATTACCTGTATAAATATTAGGCGTAGGCCAGGTGCAGGTAGTTCACTCCTGTAATCCTAGCTATTCCTAGCTATTCAATTACAGGCATGAAGCCAGCCAGAACAGAAAAGTATGTGAGGTTCTTAACTTTAGTTAACTAGTAGAAGTGGAGGTGTAGCTCAAGTAGAGTGTGAGGCTTGGGTGGCAAAAGGTAAGCAAGATCTTGAGGCCCTGAGTTCAAGCCCCAGTACTGGCACAAAATAAATATATGAATAAATACATATGAGGCTATATAAATAAATACATCAAGGTTAATTATATAACTAAAGGCTAAATAAATGCAGGCTAAATACATAAATAAGTAAATGTGGGATTTCCATGGTAGGTTTCAGTCTAAAAAGGAAGAAGTTAGAAAGTGACTATGAGTAATTGCCTGAAGCTAGAAATCAGGAGTGAAGAGGCTTTTTAAAAAGTTATTTATTTTGCATGTACTGATATCTTCCGTGTACAGAAGAGTTTGAATTCAAGTCAGTTTAAGGATGTATCTTGATCAATGTCACATAGAGGGGATTTTAAAGAGGAGGGTGAGATCTATTTCAGAATGTGTTTCCTTGTGCCTTATAGAGAAGAGAGCTCTTAAATAAAACTCCTGAGAAATACCTTCAAAAGAATATATAGAAAGCTGTAGTTATATATAACTGTAGATATATATATAAATATAATTTTTCCCACAAGAAAGATCATGAAATTAAAATACCCAAATCCTGACAGCTGTGAAACCTACTTTTGAAAAGAAGACTCCTTTAGGCTAAACGGATTTAACTTGAGAACTGAGTTCTATATGCCTTGCAAAAAGGGGTATTTGCCCAGTATAAACAACTTAGCAATATAATTTTAATTTCGCTGGGGGCAGTGGCATGCACCTGTATAGTCCAATATTTGAGAGTGTGAGGCAGGAAAAAAAAAAAGATCTGTAGTAGCTTTTTTTTTTTTTTTGGGGGGGGGGAGTGGCAGTGCCAGTCCTGGGGCTGAATTCAGGGCCAGGGCACTGTTCCTGAGCTGCTTTTTGCTCAAGGCTAGCACTCTACCACTTGAGCCACAGCACCATTTCCAGCTTTTTCTGTTTACGTGGAATCGAACCTGGGACTTCATGCATGCTAGGCAAGCACTCTACTACTAAGCCACATTCCCAGCCTGTAGTAGTTTTTTTTCGTGTGTGTGTGTATGTGTGTGTGTGTGTGTGTGTGTGTGTGTGTGTGTGTGTGTGTGTGTGTGTGTGTTAGTACTAGGGTTTGAACTTGGGCTTCAAAGTTGCTAAGCTCGTGCTTTACCACTTGAGCTACATCTCCAGCAAGGCTAGGGGGCTTTTGACTACCAGTTAGGGACCAACCTGGCAACACAATGAGACCTTTCAAAATATAAATAAAAAAGGTACAGCATTTCAATCAGCTGTTTTATGTACCCCTTTATAAAAATAAGGATTAACAGCTGGGCGCTGGTGGTTCACACCTGTAATCCTAGCTACTCAGGAGGCTGAGATCTGAAAATCATGGTTCAAAGCCAGCCCTAGCAAGAAAGTCCATGAGACTCTATCTCCAGTAAAACACCGGAAAACTGGAAATGGCACTGTGGCTCAAGTGGTAGAGTACTAGACTTAAGCTGAAGAGCTGAGGGACAATGCCCAGGCCCAGAGTTCAAGACCCACAACTGACCAATAAATAAATAAATCATAATAACAAAACTTTTACTTTTGGAACCAAAAAATTAAACTAAAAGATAAAACATTTCTTAAGTTATACTTACTAATCACTAAATATCAGCAACAATTTACCCAAGCATTTTACTTATCTACCTTTTATTTTTAAGCTTACCAAATAAGTTATCTATTTGATTCTTTTGTTTGTTCTTTTGGTGATACTGAGGTTTGAACTCAGCTCCTTTTGCTCACTAGGCTGGCACTGTACCACTAAGCTACAACTTCACCTCTATTGAATTCAAATTATTGTACTCAGGTTGTTTAAAAGAAAGTTACAGAATCTGGGTACTTGGTGGCTCAGGCCCATAATCCTAGCTACTCAAGGTTCCATCCAGAGGATCAAGGTTCAAAGTAAGCCCTAGGAAGAAAAGTTTGTGAGACTTCATCTCCAAAACAACCAACAAAAATTGGGACTGGCCGGGCGCTGGTGGCTCACGCCTGTAATCCTAGCTACTCAGGAGGCTGAGATCTGAGGATTGCGGTTCAAAGCCAGCCCGGGCAGGAGAGACCGTGAGACTCCTATCTCCAATAAACCACCAGAAAACCGGAAGTGGCGCTGTAGCTCAAGTGGTAGAGCGCTCGCCTTGAGCTGAAGAGCTGAGGGACAGCGCCCAGGCCCAGAGTTCAAGCCCCACGACCGACAAAAAAAAAATTGGGTCTGGAGGCATTGCTCAAGTGGTAGAGTTCCAGCTAAGCAATAGACTTGGCAAGTACAAGGCCCTGTGTTTAAACCCCAGAACTGGCAGATAAATACTAAGTAAACAAGTTACAGGGGCTGGACATAGCTATTCCAGTGGTACAGTGCCCATTGCCAGGACCTGGCACTACCACAATAAAGTTATAATTTTGATGGGAAGGACTAGGAAGTGGTTCAGTGGTAGAGTGCTTGCCTTGCATGCCTGAGGCCCTGGGTTCGATTCCTCAGCACCACATAAGCAAAAAGAAAAAAGCCAGAAGTGGCGTCGTGGCTCAAGAGGTAGAGCGCTAGCCTTGAGCTGAAGAGCTGGGGGACAGTGCCCAGGCCCAGAGTTCAGACCCCACAACCAGAGCCCCCCCCAAAAAAATAATAATTTTGATGGGAAGAGAACACATATTTCATTCTCCGTGCACACATCAATGATGCAAGTTGTGTGCTTTGAACTGTGTGCCCAGGACAGGGGCCTCAGCCAGCACTTGGTGGCAGCATACCCAAGTGGAGCTTTTGTCCTACTGATAAGCAAAAAACTGGAAAGTCTAGTAGGCAACTCCAATGTTGAAACGGCAACTGCAGATAAACCCCAGTTCTTGCTGTAGGACTCCCTCATGCCCATGGAGGCTCCAGTACCCCAGGACAGTCCCCTGCCCCAGGGCTGCTCACTCACCCTCAGTGGGTATGGACAACCCACAGACCCCAGCCTGGCACCTCCAAGGGTGCCTGGTGTTGAAACCTCTATAGGTCTTTGCCCAGGTGTCTCACCTGGCGTGGGTGACAGAAGGCATCCTGTCCAACTTCCCCATGACAGAAGGAGCTGTCACTCACCCTCTTCCAGCCACAGAGGTCAAGTGACACCCCCAGGCCCGCCCAAAACCTTAGGAGTCAGGAAAGATGATATTCATTGCTTGGAGCAGCCACACCTGTGTCCACCTCACTGGGTACTGGGCTGGGAATGTGGCTTCATGGTAGAGTGCTCGCCTAGCATGCATGAAGCCCTGGGTTTGGAT